GAGTGATTACAAAGATTACCCAACAAACGGTTGCCTATTGAAGAAACGACTTCTTGACGATTTTATTCCACTTCATGCTAAATAATACTTGTACTATTTATAATAATAATTTCTGTTCAGGATTTATTCACACAAATCTGGAGAATTTATTCAACCACAACATCGAAATATTTAGTGTTGAATAAAGGTATGTCGAGAAGCTTTAATTCGACTTACAAGAGTTGTAACCGAGCTTATTCGATCAAATTTTTGATTATTCAGCGTTTTATTAGACATCATCATCATAACTTCCTTAAACAGCGATGGTATAAAGGTGTATTTAGACGCTTGATTCTCATGTGAAATTAATGTTTAATAAGGCACTATTATACATTTATATTAAACGATTATTCAACTACGGGATAATTAATCCGAAAATAAGAACGGCACAGAAGAGCAGGGGGTTGTGTTCTCTCGTTAGTGATTGTTGTGTCATTTATTTTTGTCGAAGCACGCACCCCCACCTCAGATCTAGATTATTACATACATACATACACACACATGTCGGATATATGGGATTCGAACCATGACCTTCCGATCACCAGCCGCTTGCCTTGCCATCTGAGCTATCCTAGATTACATCATATGGGCAGCTAAATAAGCAATAAAAGCTTGAATCTGAAAACCTATCAGCACTTCCAGCCGTAATTCTACACGGTAAGAAAAAAGTACCCAACGGCCAGTTCACTTTTACCTACTTTTGACTAGTTTGTCTCCTTTTCTCCTTCTAATGTTGTCAAAAACGGAGGAGCAAAATCACCCAACAGGGGTAGTAAAGTGTGGGAACCCAACGTTGAGTATAATCATATTTACCTACTGTTGGGTACAACTAACTTACTTTTGGTTAAAAGGCTAGTGGAAAATTCCATACGAACTGCACACAAGTAAATGAAAATTACTTTGATCCGCTTTACCTACTTTTGGGTTCCTGCACTATAGTGCCGAGATGAGTGAAAAGAACTTAATTTTGGGTACTTTTTTTTCTAACCGTGTAGCTAATTCAAGGAGATGTGAGAATGATTAATTCATTCATAGTTGTTTAACATTAGACCAACGTTACCTCTCCATCTCTCTAATTTCGATGGAAAGGATGCTATTCTTTTCGATAGATCTATGAATTGGTTGTCGTGAGTGATACGATTTATGATTACGATTTAAATTAATTAGGCGTAGAAAATAAATAAAAACAGGGTTCAGGCTGGGATTGAACCCGCGACCTTCTACTTGGAAAGCGGAAACGGTAACCACTATGCTACCATTTTCGTTTTGTTGTTAGCCTGAAGCAGTGTTGTGCAATAATGAATGAATACGCCGTTTGTAAAGCATTTATTTACAAAGCATGCAATTAAAACATGGACGCATAGTGGTATAAGAGCTATTATGCTGACTGTATTCACCTTTATTCAGCATTACAATGGAATCTAGTAATGGAGCTAGAAAACAATCATTAGACGTAAAAAGCATGTTATTAAATCAATTGAAACAGTCGGATTAAAGCGTTGTGCAAATTACACTTATTCAGTATGTTATTAGATCAAACTTCTGGTGTTGAATCAGGAAGACAGTCATCGTTTGTATAGATTTTAATAAGTATATTAATCAAATCAGAGCAATGAGCGGAATAAAGGCGCATCATCGATCTCAATGAGGTTTTCTGAGCACATAATTTGACAACCTGTTTTATTCAGCATTGTACACTGTTATAAAGCATTTATTCAATCTATATGCTTATTTGTGACTCTGAATTGTTTTTTGGGCAGTGTTGTGGAATAATGAATCTAATACGTCGTCTATAAAGCATTTACAAAGCATTGAACTAAAACATAGACGCATAGTGGTATAAGAGCGACAATGTATGTGCAAATTACACTTATTCAGTTTGTTATTAGATCAAACTTCTGGTTCTGAATCAGGAAGACAGTCAACGTTTATAAAGCTTTTAATAAGTAAATTAATCATATCAGAGCAAACGGCGGAATAAAGGCGCTATCAATCTCAATGAGCTTTTTTCAGCACATAATTCGACATCCTGTTTTATTCAGCATTGTACACTGTTATACAGCATTTCTTCAATGTGTATGCTTATTTGTGACTGTGAATTGTTTGTTGGGATATTAAGTGCTCCGAGACTGAAAAGTTCGTTGCTCGACGAAAAGTACGTTTGATTAAGCTATATTTTGTGTCTGTTATGACTCAAATTTATGTCAAAATTGACGCTCGTATATGTCACTCTCAGAGCACCTAAATTCACATGAATTTGTCTAAGTGTGTAGATGATGGTTAAAACACGTCCTATTGTAGAACACGTTCTATCGATGGATGAATTAATATCGGCTGATCGGATGAATTTCAAAATTGTAGAGAAATTAATGGAGGAAAAGTAATGTTAGCCAAAGCAGCACGTTCCGTGAAGTAAACGAACCCGTATTTTCCTCAAGTTCATGCGATATGCCGTATCATCGTACATGAACCATAAGTTGTCAGTTGAAGATTTTTGTATCATATAAAATTCACAATTTTGCATCGAGCTACTACCGTGCGATCACACTGCTGAGCGCCGCCTACAAAGTACTCTCCCAAATTCTGCCACCGGCTGTCATTATTTGCATGAGAGTTCGTGGGGTAATACCAGGCGGGGTTCATGGGTGCCCGCGCTACCACGGACCAAATTTTATCGATTCGGCAGGTTCTGCACAAATGCCGTGAATACAACGTTTGAAATTTTTGCTCCACAGTGCTCAATCGGTTCCCAGTCGGGTCCTGATCAACCTCTCAAAATTTAAACTCATTTGGTAAATAACTGACTTGGCACAAGCCAGTTGAAGTTTAAAAAAACACCAATTGTGGAAAGTTCAGACATGCGTCTATACCCGAAAAAAAAAATAACAACAAAAATACATTAAAAACAATGTAACAATAAGACGAAAATTATTGTCTTAACAATGATTTATATTGTTACGTCTACAATAAATTTACCTTGATTTATGTTGTACAAAACAGTAAATTTCATGGTAAATGGAAAATTTACAATAAAAAAGGGGGGTTGTTAAGTATCTTAACAATGAAATTTTCGTGATTTCCCCATATAATTTTTTTTCAATAACATAATATATTATTGTTATTTTACTGTTGGTTGGCGAATTTATTGATTAAAAAAATAACAGTGTACTTTAGAGTGTATGTGTTGGCTTGACAGATCTACTTTATCGACTTTAAAAATAAATCGAAAAAATAAAACATTGCCCCGGGAAGGGAAGGGGGTGGTATGTCTGTTACGGGTGGTCCTTTTTTTTACTGGTTATGGATCGAGATTCGATCCGGAACTTGTGAGAAATACAGGCCAACTCCCCTGCGCTCGATCTCTCTAGGTCACGTCTCCTTGGTGGTTGAGCGTCGTTGATAAGTTAATGCATTCAACTGGAGAGAATCGCCCATGAAATATGCTTCCACCTGAGAGTTCCTTTCTGACATCTTCAAGTGGTGGAATTTTTTATTATTATTGTATGATTATTGACTGCACGGAAAAGGTCTCCATTAAGCTTTAGAGAGGGTCTAGGATAAGATATGAACGGACGCGGACTGCCTGATTTTGAGTCAAACGAACTGTCAAAGCCAGAGCCATACGAGCAGCGCCTATCTTAATTACATTGGCAGTGTTGCTGACCCTCTCATAGTCTGCATGCTTCAATCAGATTTATTTTTATTGTTCGTGAAATGAAAATACACCAATATTTAATGTAACAACAATTTTTATTGTAATAGAGTTGTTCATTATTGTTCATGATCGAATCATGTTAACAATAAAATAAATGAAAAATACGATAAAAATCATTCTAACAACATTTTATTATGTACATTCATTGTACATCTAGGTAGCAGTTTTGCCGTTTTCGGAAGAGTACAACATTATAACAATCATTTTTATTGTCGACAATAAATATTAATGTTAGAGCATTGTTTCCACTGAAGATTTTACTGTAATTTTTTTTTTCGGGTACCCAGAGACTAGAGACAGCATTTCTGCCTTTTCTACAAAACGGAGACACCTATTCTCTAAAAACAATATTGGAACGTAGTAGCTGGAGAAATAAACGAAATAAATTATAAGCACAAATTGAATCAGTAAATACAATACATTTTCTTCTTTGACGCCAAAAATACAATCGAAAGTTAAATAAAACCCTTTACGTCAAAGATGGATTTCGTCACGTGTAAAATTAGGTATTTCTAAGTGTGTCCTTAAGCGGTGAACAACCTTAAATTTGGTGGAGCCCGTTAAATTTGAACAAATAATTTCATGGATATGGCTTCACTTTTCATAAAGGCTTATGATAAAAAGATCTGTTGTTATACCTTGTTTTGTATAGCTAATAGGAGCACCATTTTTATCACGCAATACTTTCCCAAAGTTACGTTCATTCAAGCCTTGGAACACCCACCCTGGGCCATCGAGCAGAAGTAGTGTGAGTGGCAGCTCAAAAGTGTCAGCCATCATAAGCCTGCTTGAGCATCTTGCGCCACAAATCACGAACACATGGCCAGTGGCGCGTTCCGATAGACGCTTAAGCCAAAGACGACGCAAAAGAGACCCTGCTGTTCTGTTTCTCCAGTTTTGTTGTATAGAAATACAGGCAGCACGAGCAGCGGCTCCTCGGCCTACCTCGTTATCCGGATGGAAATAAGGAGAGAGCGAAGGAAAACCCCATGCACAAGAGAGAACCAAAACAACTCGTTAACTTGTTGTTGTTGTTGGGTGGTTGTTGGTTTGGGAGTTGGTTATTGGGAGAGCGAGCGGGTGGAATCTTATGCGCGCCGTTGTTTGGCTGTCTGTTCGTCGGATGGGATATCTGCTTAGTTCCTCGTGAGAGTTGGTCGTCGCAGGTAGACGTATTTTTTAAGCGAGTCGGTACGGTCACGCGGCTGGTTTATCAGTGAACACAGGAGACCGCTTTCCGCGTCGTCGTCGTCATTGTCAGGGAACGGAGATTTCCAGTTACAAACAGATCAGTGACTGTGCGCTTAATATTGTGTATACGCGCGAAAAAAACATTCGGATTTTGGCGAGTTTTATCTAAATTATGATAATTTTTTTCGTGGTTCTGTTGAGTGTACGAGCGTGCAGTTTTAATTAATTTATTCTGTGAAAGGTAAACTTGTGCTGCTGTTGATTTGCTGTTCATTTTTATCAGTATAAATGCGACTTTGAAAAAGGTAGACAGTGCCCTCATTGTCGATGTGTCGCTTTAAAGCAATTATGATAGCGAGGTGACAATCATCGCGTAAACAGCTGACTTATAGTACGTCTGGAAGTGAATGAAATTGTTTACATTTTGGTCGGGAGCGTAATAGGATCATTCTGTGAAGGATAGTCTTACCTAGGAGTGTGTGTTGGCCTACAGCCTTCTAAGTGTAAGGTGTGCGACTAATAATGTATTCATAACACATTCGAATCGTGAGCATATGTCGGACGCTAGTCGCGATTGACTTGTCGGTCATAATTCGATGTCATAAATCGCTAATTTACATTCGTGCTCACTCGGATAGGAATGCCAAGCACGACCGCGGTCAATGTGTGAGGTTCGGTGCGATGGTTGCATAAACATTTGACGGAAAATTAGCATAAAAACTGGGATGGATAAATAAATTTTCGGAACAGTTTGGCGTTCACGTCATGATCGATCAAGATGCTCGCAGCTTCCTCCCGTTCGTTGAGTCGAATGTGTATGCGATCGTCAATAACCGTACATCTGTTTACGCATCGACCGAGCTGGGTGAATGTTTGCTGGCTCTAAATCCAGTGAAATAGAACGCAAAATTTACCGTGATTTATTTATAAAAGTGAACCACGATGAAATGTTGCGATACTTGCGTGTGCCAGGAAAAATAAGCATTAGCTGCACGAGTCGCTCAACAGGTGCCCTCCCCCCGACTCGAATGTAAACAACCAATGTGTAACTGTGGTGCTTTCACATTGAGACTTATTTTTGCGCGGAAATCTCTGGGAATCAGAACAAGTGTACTTGGAATGAGATTCAGCGAGGTATACCACTACTTGGTCTAAGGCAGACGTCAAAAAATGTTGTTTTTCCAGCAGCAAACACTGAAGGACCGAAGAAGGTGAATTACAACAAATAATCGCATAACAAGAGAAGAATATCAACCGAAAAGAAACGAGAAGATTATTAAAGAAGAAAAGAAGGTTGTTTCAAAGTGCAGAGAAGAAAAGTTTCACGTTTCGAGAAGAGAGCAGCCGAGTGCACTGTTATAGCGGAGGCTGAATGGTATTATTTTTATGAGATGAACGTTGTTGTTGTGTTCTCTCGTTCGTCGGAATAGTCATCATCATCATCAACATATTGGTGAAGACGAGAGACGACTCCCCGTGCACGCGGTGGAATGTGTTGTGTAGCCTTAGCGGGATCACCGGTGCCTGTGGGTTTCTCTTCGCTTCTGGCCGTGTCCGATATATGTGATGGTAGAAGAAGATGATCTAACGAAAAAGGTCTACAGGAAAGAGTGAAAAACATTACGAGCATAATCCTAACTGTGACAGCCGCTCGTTCCAAGTAAAAGAGTGTGAATATAAAAGCTTTTAAACAAGATTAAAATTCAATTGATTGGTGCGGTAATTGTGAAGTACTCTTAGCATCGAGCAACTTTGATTAAGTGGATGGGGAAGATCCACTTGCAAGTTCGATAATCCTTTGGTTTGAAATGCCATTTATGAACCAACTGTGTTGGAACTTCTATCGAAAAATGGCTAAAGGAATCGCGTTTCTAGTTTTCTTGGCTAGTTGTAGTCAAGTACTGTCAACCTCGGACTTTGCAACGCAACGTACATGCGAGCCCATCAGAATTGAACTCTGCCGAGGAATCGGCTATAATGAGACGTCCCTACCGAACCTAGTGGGACATGAACTTCAGTCTGACGCGGACTTCACGCTGCAAACCTTCTCACCTCTAATTCAGTATGGTTGCAGCAAGCAGCTGAAGTTTTTCCTGTGCGCAGCGTACGTCCCTATGTGCACACCAAAAGTTACTATGCCCATAGGACCTTGCCGGGGGCTGTGCCTTACCGTGAAGACCCTATGCCATCCTATTCTACAAGGCTTTGGATTCCCGTGGCCATCAGCATTGGATTGCAACCGCTTTCCCGAGGAAAACAACCATGAACACATGTGCATGCAAGGTCCCGGTGAACCAGCGGACGGTGTAATCATGATCTCCAAAAACGACCGCCCCACGTGCCAAGGATTGATCAAATCCCATCTGTACGTGCGGTTGAACCGTTCCGGCCGATGTGCACCGCTGTGCGAAGCGGATATCATGTTCGAGCAAAATGAGAAACACTTTGCGGAAGTTTGGCTCACATCGTGGAGTGTGGCCGCCCTGTTTACGGCCATTATTGCAACTCTGTGTTTGATCCTCGCTACCAAACGGTGGCATAAGATTCTTATGCCACTGGTCATCAGTCATTGCCTGGTCACAGTCGGATGGGCCGTCCGTTGGTTGGCAGGACGCAATGCAACTGCTTGCGGCTACGATACACAGCTTCCGGGCGTTTCGCTACTGCTAACGGATGGCCTCATGACGGCGCCATGTGCGGCCACGTTCCTGCTACGATACTACTTCGGCATGTCGGCAGCTGTTTGGTAAGTCATAAAATCCAACCATTACTCATTTATTACTTCTATAACGAACCTCAATATATCAACCCCGAGCAGCTTTCTCCAACGAGCACGTTCTTGTTTAACTCGTTGACTCCGTATTCTATGGCTCTCGGGGACACACTTAACTATTTTCGGAAACGCAACGTACGATGTATGTAAGCGATAATTAACTCTTTTTTAATCATACTCCCTCCAAGGTCCAAAGCAGTAGTATTGCATCTCTCAAGTGGCAGCAGCTGAGATTGATCCCGCGCTGATGGGCGAAGGCGGGCGCAACTGACGAAATGCATGTACGTGCACTCACTCGTCATCAATTTTGCTATGGCTTGTTTTTCGACAGCCAGGGCAGTCCCCTGCTTTGGTGGCGAATTGCGTGGATCATTAATAGCGTGCTACTTTTATTGGAATCTTTTGACTTGACTGCACAGGCCTCTCTCTGTCATTCGACGACGTTCGTCGTCATGCCATTTCGCTTCGGTTATTACATATGGCCATTAAAATTTGACGTGCGCATCAGGCAGGCAAATGTAATGAGCGGCGAAATCCGCAACCGATCTCGTTAATTTTAGGAGATTTTCAAATTTTCTAACTCTTTCGTGGCGTAATGCAGTCCATGTCCATGTGAAAAAACGGTACATTTGCTGAATCCGTATGGGTGAAGTTGAGTGGTTCCAAACCGTTGCGTTATTTAAAACTGACTTCTGGGAATTATGGCACAAAAACGGGAAGCAATTTAGCACAATTAATATCAAACTGATTCCGGGTGGTTTGCTGTTTTCCGTGGTCAATTTTGGCGCAATATCACTTCTTGATTGCGGTGAAATAAATTTGTGATAAAATTCATAACAAGGCATTGGTTGTTCGATCACAACTTGTCTTATTGTCGTTAAAATTGAACTGAATTTCATGTTTGAATTTGCGATATTATTGAGATTATTGCTTATCGCATATTAGCTTATTGCGTGCTCTGTACATATAATTGTGTGGCAAGTACAATCATACTCTATGCCCAGGGAAATCGAGAAATTTTCCAACCCGAAAAATTCCTAGATCGGACCGGGAATCGAACCCAGCCACCTCCAGCATGGTCTTGCTTTGTAGCTGCGCCTTTGAGCTAAGCGAGAAGATTAGGCTTGGTTGATTCTCCTATAAAATGTTTGTTTTAACAATCATAGAATTGGTTTTGAAATTTTGATCATCTTTTGTTCTAGGATGGAACCTGACTGTGCAATTTAATGGTTGCAGTGATTATGAACCAAATAATAAAAAAAGTAAAATGAGACACTCAAAAACAAAAAAACTTTTATGTTATAGAGCTAGAAAGCTCAGAACAGAAAACAATTAGATCGTTCTACGAGGACGGTATCTTTATATTGGATATTGAAATGAGTCGTTCAAGTCGGCCGTCGACGACGTTGAATAATGTTTCAACCACCACATTCTTAAACCACCGCCCCAAACAGGGATGCCAGATAACTTTGTGTCATTTCGGAAAATTGATAAGGGAAGCGGGGCAGTTTGGCACCTTATGAAAATCATCACTAAAAATACCAAGTGTAGTGAAAAATTCGACTGATTTTAATCCAAATTGATACTTTCTAGCCCTAGCTTCCATGAGGATTTAAGGAGGATCAACAATGAACAGTTTTAACTGCACCTGTAGACTTCAAGACATACTTCAAGTCTCCGCGTACATCGTACGGGTTAGGCAAAAGATGTGCGTTTGACTTTAAAAACTGTCACATTAATGGTCCTTCGCTCATTTTCAACTTCTATTCAATTTTTATTCTGCCGTACTCTAACGGAACTATCCACCTACCCTCTTCTAAAGATCATTCTCTAGCTAATAAATTATCACACTAAAGCTTCATGTTAGCATTTTCAACCAACTCCTAAAATTATTTAAAAGAATCAATTTCTTTCTGTAGAATAAATTAAATTTCAGAAATACTACCTAATAAAGACTATATTTTTTTTGCAAAGCAGCTGCTTCCAAACATGGTTTCATAAAATTGAAGAATATAAATAGAAAATATTTGAAATATCAGTTGTGCTCATATTGCCCCGAATGATTTTTTTTTGTGTTTATTTGGAAGGCTCATTGTTTCTAGGAGCTAAACGGAGCCTGAAGACTATTTTTTTTATGTGCATTAAGGGGGATTGAGCTCTTCATTTTTTTTCTTCTGCATAGCTTCGTACTCGTATAGATCATTCCATTGCTTCTGCCGTTGCTTACGCCAGGTCAGTCGAGGTTCGGTTTCGATTTCGGTCACAAGGGTATTAAGGATGGATATTCCACGATAGTTTTCGACGACATGCGTTTTCCCTGCTTTGTGTATTGAAACAATCGAAGCAGCCTTCCACACATCAGGGAATGTTTTGTCTGACAAGGATCGGTTAAAAATGCAAGCAACAGGTCTCATTGAAGAGTCAGCGCATTTTCTGAGGAAAGTTGGTGGAAGATTATCAGTGCTGGCTCCTTTGGCTGCGTCGAGATTTTTGAAGGCAGTCATAACGTCATTTTCTGTGACGTTCAAGACTGGAAAGTTCAGATCAAAAGTAGGATCGTTTGACAAGGCTTCATCGTGTTGTGCTATTTCAGAGTAGTAAACGCTTTGGAAAAACTCTGAAAAGAGGTTAGCAGTTTCCTCGCGGTCGATAGAAGTCCGAGATTTGTATTGCATCTCACTCGGAATTCCTCAACTGCTTTTTCGACGTTTGATGACACACTTTAGTTTTTTCTACCGAGCTCGGCTGTGCAAATCTTGGCAAAAATAAGTTTCACTGATATCCCAGCATAAGTGACATTTGATTGCTGAGTCTCGGATAATGTTTAGCTGAATCTCAGCAAACAAATGAAATGGCAAGTTTTTCACTGAGATCCAGCAAAATAAAATGCTGAGCTGCTCGGTTGTGCCCATCTCGGTAAAAAAAATCTAAGTGGTAATAAAAGGTAAGGGAGCCTTAAAAATGGTCCACATAGTTTATGAACAGTCCCTTAGATCTTACGAAAAAAAATGAGTAGAAAATCGTTGCATATAGTGTGCATAATCCGAAATTTTTCAGCATCATCCGGATCATCCGGATGAAATATCATCCAAAACTGAATGATGAGGTCCGGGATGAAATCTCTGCAATTTGAGAACAATCTTCTTTCAGGTTTATCTAGCTATGGAATTAAAGCGATACATGAAGCATAGCAAGAATTTGATCTATGCGTTCACATTTCACTGGATGAATGTAATCTTCTGTCTGAACATTTTAGGAACATGTTCAAAGGCTTTTCCGCTTCGTCGACCCAAGTTGATGAAGCTATCAGAGATACTCCCAGTGATGTGCTTAACTCCAACATATTCACGGTTACTCTTGAATCCGTCTAATCTGCCATTAGGAAGCTGAAATTCTCCAATGCTATTTGTCCTGATGGAATCCCTTCTTGTGTACTGAAGAAATGCTTAACTGAACTCATAATTGCTTTATCAAAGTTGTTCAACTTTTCGCTGCAGCAGGGTGAGTTTCCAACCGGCTGTAAATCTTCGTTCATGTTCCCGATTTTCATGAAAGAAGACAAACGAAAAGCTGAAAATTACCTAGGGATCACATCACTTTGCACCTGCATTAAAGTCTTTGAGATCATCGTTAACGACGCTTTATTCTCTATCAGCAGAAACTACATTTTTAAGGACTAACATGCTTTTCACCCCAAGAGATCGGTCTCAACAAACCTTCCTCCTTTCATTTCCTCGTGCCGACGGAATATGGAAGCAGGATCACAGGTAGACGCTCTGTACACGGATCTAAAAGCTGCTTTTGACCGGGTTGAACACGCCATACTTGATAAGCTTGGCGTGTCGGATGGCTTTATTCGTCGATTTAAATCCCACCTCACCAATGGAATACCTTCGGACTATTTCACAAGCATGTCGGGCGTTCCTCAAGGTAGCAACTTGGGACTGTTGCTATTTTCGATTTTCATAAACGAGATTGGATTGATCCTACCAATTGACTGCTGGTCGTTTTATGCAGACGATGTGAAGATTTCCGTGGTCGGGCGATGCTTCGCTGACTGCTCGATGCTTTGAAGAGTGGTGCTCTAGGAATTTTCTCTCCTTGTGTGTTCATAAATGCTATATTATCACATCCCATTGCAAACCGACAACAATTGCATTTGATTATACGGTCGATAACCAACCTCTGCATCACGACACTGCTATAAAATTTAAACAACATTACTCGGACATAATTGCCAAAGCTAACAGACAACTCGGGTTCATATTTAAGATCTCTGACGAGTTTCGTGATCTTGCCTGCCTAATAGCTCTGTACTGCTCTCTCGTGCGATCTCCGAGTCCGGCAAAAATGTGCCGAGAATCAGCAGCATTGGGAATTTTTTTTTTGTGAATCCCGGATTTTTATATTTTTTCGTTTTTTAACTTTTATTTGTAATTATGATCGATATTTTGAAAAAAAGAAGTAGTATACAATTTGACATCAATGTTTTTTTTTATTCCAGCTGGTTGTTCCACACACTTAGAAATAACTAATTTTACACGTGACGGAATCCATCTTTGACATAAAAGATGAGACGTAAACAAACATGGCATGTAATATTAAGTGCTCCGAGCCTGAAAAGTTCGTTGCTCGACGAAAAGTACGTTTGAATAAGCTTTATTTCACGTCTGTTATGGCTCAAATTTATGTCAAAATTGACGCTCGTATATGTCACTCTCTGAGCACCTAAATTTACATGATTCTTTCTAAGTGTGCACGACAACCTTCTTTTCAGCTTGGCTACCACTTTCACAGTAAAAGAGTGGTCGATTTAATTTTGTCAGTTATTTTACGTATTCTCGGCAAAACAAAACGTTTGAAATATGTCCGTCTTCGTTTTGACAGATATATTTTAAATATTTTCAGCAAAGAAAATGCAAATCCGTAAAGTTCGTTAAATTATTTGGCTGATTTCGGCTGTTTGAGATGAT